GTTGCAGAAAATCAAGCTCGGGGCTGTGGTGAGTGGTCATTTTCATGCACTTTGAATTTGCGTTGTATCGTATTTTGAAGGCATTAAACATTGCCATAGCGATCGGAGTGTTGCGGCCAGATTAGACGCTCCTTGTGTTTATTATTATATTTCGAAAACGCCACAGTTTTCATGCAGCTCATACCATATTATTTTGTTGTATTATTTCCGCCACACCTTAAATGCCGGTCCCTGAAAATATTGTCTGACATAAACCGGTCCATGGGGCAAAAAAGGTTGGGGGCCCCTGCTGTAGATCACCTGATGTGTCTCCAAGTTGAGTTCTTGCAGAGCGAAATGCCAACTTTTTTAGGCAAATTGACAAAAACCGCGATGGTAGGGCTGACTGCACTTTTACAGCCAGTGGGCTACTGACTTTGTGGTTTGGTGGAGTGTGTTTGGGGTTGAAACAAGTTTGACTCACCTGAGGATACAGGAGGGCTGACAGGTAATTGTTCACGCACAGGAAAAACAAGAACGTTAAAACCTGAAAGAACAAGTCACAGGATTGCATTCATGAAAATATATAGGATGTTATCTTAATTTCTAACAGTTTCTCAATTGCCCTGAGCAATTGTAACGGCATGGGTTAACCGGACTTTGTTTTGTTGTCTTTTGCTACATTATAGGGACCTGATCTAAAGGGAGAGATCGAGGGTTCTATCTTAGCTCAAAGGGAATTAGGTGATTTGCAGCTGTTCTGCTTTCTGCTTAAAAAAATAGTGGTTCATTCAAGCATCCTGGCATCAACAGATTTTACGATGAACGTTGTGTTCTGCGAACAAAAGAAAAGAAAAAAAAAAAGAATAAAACTCAAGAGTGATAATACACTATCTTGAACTAATTAGGTCTAGTAATTGCTAATTCTATTACACGGGTCTGGCCTCATCTTACAGAAGGCTGACATGTTTCGCTGCCATCTTTTTGCACCCGATACCCAATGGGAGTCAGATGACCCGATCACAAATTTGCTGGATCAATGAGTACAGCATGTGTGAGACATCCAATGGACTGAGTTTGTCACTTGACGGAATACTAGAAGCCCTTTGTGATTACATTTACTCGCACCTCTGCTGACGAAGTGGTGGTCTCTCTGAGGCACTGGAATGCTCATGCTTCAAACTAAGGTCATTGCATTCTCTTGTTCACCACTAGATGGCGAGTGCATTTTACACACTGTACCTTTAAGTCAAGGTTCAGTCCTATCGACAACCCATTGTCTCTTTCAGCACATCTCGTGACCCCTTTTCCACTGCACCGACCTTCTCTGCTCAGTGTTTTTTTTCTGGAAGCTGCAGTTTTATGCGCCACAATCTCCACTATGCTGCAGCAGTGTGTTTTATTGCTGCCTATAAGCCTCCTCTTGAATAAAGTCTCCTTACTGTGGCCAACATATCCCTCACCAACTTTTCTTAAAATGTTATTGGAATAAAATGAGCTGTTTTAGGATTTGTTGTGGAGAATTAAGTCATTTGGGGCAGAAAATTGAATACAATGACACCGGTCACTTGGAAGCAAGGAGCTGCCAAAGGTGATTAGGAAAAGAAAAGCAAAGCGACCAAAAGTAGTGTGGGTCTTGGGAATAAAGAGATGAATAAGACTGCTGGAGTGGAGAGTGCGGTTGTGTGTACCTACGTGACGAGCTAACTGGTTGGGCCACCCTCAGCAGCAACAACCGAAATCAAGCGCTTTCTAAAAGGACGGCTAGTAAATTAAGTGAGAAGGTTGTGCGTTCAGTAAGCATTAGTCAAGTGCTTTTTTTTCACATTTCCATATTGAGATCCTTCGGTGTGCCAATGGGAACATAGATATACATAGAAGACGAAATACGCCAGCATGTTCTATCGAAGCCGGCTAACCGAGGTGCGTGGCAGCTATATTGGGGCGGTCGATGTTTCCAAAAGTTCAATTCGAGAGCCGCATCTCTGCGGTTAGAAAGCGCCTCCAATAGGTGAGGAGTTGGCAGCGGAATTTACACAATGCTATTTGGGCTGATTTACGGCATAAAGACAATGAAGCTGTAATAAATGTGGTGTCTCAGAGTCCTGAGTTTTGGGACACAAGAGAGATGACATACAGTGATGACACTGCTCTCTGCTCAGCTCTAAATATACCTTGCAGAAGTCTTGGTGGAACTGTAGCACATGAACGAATTAAATTCTCCAAATTTGCACCGAGCCATTGATTAACGTATGCACTCGTTCCTTTTTTCCTGTTGGTTGTCTCCTCTTCCTTATCAGAATGAGTAAAGCCATGACTGTCTTTTACAACAATGATGGATATACTGTACCTTGTCGAGGTGTGGTCTACTTTTTGTCTAAAACCAGCTGGGAAGTCTCCCTGGTATGCTGCTATGTCAGAACTTCTAAATATGGGTACGCTGGCTCAGGGGAACTGTCGTGCTGCGGACTGCCGCACGGACCTTTCACACTGAGCCGGTGCAGTGTAAAAAGCCATGTAAGGGAGCACCGGTGACAACGCGAATGGCTGTGGGGTATATGGTGTCGACCTTGTGGAGGAGAGTTTTGAAAGCAGATCTCAAATAGTACATTTCCGTGATCAAGAATTGGCAAGACAGCCCTTTTAACATGAGCCAATTTATAAGAATGTGTTGATGAGAATTTATTTCGGTTGAGAGAGCCTAATCTGCTATTAAATTGAAAGAGAATTTATTGACGTGAGTTTCAAATGTAAGTGAACCATCAAGTTAAAATTCCAGGAAACCCTGGCAAGTGATGAATTGAACATCACAACAATCAAAAGGCAGAATATTGCTGGGATGCTCACAATCTGTAGGCAGTTTCTGATGAAAATAATATACACATTAAGGTGTTTATCAGTAATAATTGTACACTGGAAAGAGTATTTTGAACGTTAGTAACACTTGTCTAAAATATAGACAGGGCAGTACGGAGGGAGGAGCAAAAAGTATAACTACCATCGCAATGCCAATGGGCAAGAGAATTCCCAATAAAGGGTTATGTTGTTGATGTAGACAGTTCAAAATGTTCGACCAACTACAGTCAAAGTATAGTCCAAGTAATGAACGAGTCAGGGAAAAATGGCAACAAAAGACCACAAGAGAGTTCTCCTGTTCACTTTTTGGACGGCATCAAGGGAAAAGTAGGAACAACAGCTATTTTCTTGGATTTTGGAATATGAGATTTCATCAGATAGTTTGCATTTAGTAAGTGTTAATTCCATTCAGATTGGAGGATCCCAGAAACACAAATCAGGAAAGGAGAGAGACCTGAGGAGAGCATGTACTGTTCAGTGAAAAGGGGAAGTAATATCAACCTCTGTATGACTCACTTAGACTAATGTATTGTACATGTCTGACAGACACGCCAGAATATATCTATTTTTTGTTTGTCTGTTTTTTTTCGTCCAACATTTTTACCTCTCTGTGTTTAATGTCCCTCTCTGGTTGCCACGCAGTCAGAGGATCGCTGACACTTTGCTTGCCTTCAGCTCGGCCTTGTAAGCTTACATACAGGCTGGAGGCTAACAAGAGTGCTGGAGCCGAGGGGAGATGCAGCAACTGACCCCTCATTAAACTGCAAACGAGACCAGATCAAAATGATCAGAAACAAGAACTACAAAAGAACATACTTGAGACTTTGAGAGCATTTTGACAGCTATTCCTACCTGCAGGCCCAGCTTTGACTGTTTACGATGAGCTGCAGTTGTTTTGGTGGCATCTCCCCATCTCGCAGACGAGACCATAATGACAGCAGCACTACCGACAGTTGCTCCCACCAGTACTACAACCATTCAAAACAAAAATAGTACACAAATGACTGGCTGAAACTCACTACAGAATGGTGAAGAAAGCTAAACAGAAACAGAGGAGAATAAATATCAAGGGAAAAGTAGCATCTGTACCAAGAGAAAGTAAGACAACGAAACCGGTCCGTGGGGCAAAAAAGGTTGGCGACCACTGCTCTCAGGCAAAGGAGCAAAAGAATGACCCCTGTAAATGTGCAAAAATGGGCCAAAATGTAACTTTCAAAAATTTAGAGCTCACTTCCTGTTCATTATAGACCATGGCTGCAATGAACTTTTTTTTGTATGGAGTCCTACACGTGCCTGTCAATCAAACATGGCAGGATTGTTCATTCAGTGGAATGTTCTGTTGTGTATGTAGGAAAAGTTTTAGATCTTTGAGTCCATCTCACGACAAATGGGAGCAAAAATAAACGTTGCGCTTTTATTTCTGCTTGTTTTTGAAGACGGCACCTACCACTGTTGAGACCAGCAGCAGAGGGCACTGATTTGTGATCTGACACCAAGCCTTGTTGAATTCTTCTGCCACAAGACTGCAGCGTGAACTAAAACATAAAACGCTCTGGAGAGGAAACACAATAGCTTCAACAGCACATAGGTATGTTCTGAGAAGTTTATTTTTTTGAGTATTTAGTTCTCACTCTCAGAAAGTGTGATGTCAGCTGAAGGGACAAAAAGCCGCTCGGTGAACATACACTTCTCTGAAACATCAAGAGAAAAGTCAAAAAATATACAAATCACATACATCATTCATGTGCACATATTATCAAGTACAGTGATCCCTCACTATATCGCGCGTCATTTATCGCAGCTTTAGTAGATGGCGTTTTTCTTCCAGAGTTCCCTGGGCGACGTCAATCATTGCAGAGATGAAAGTGGACTTTCCTGAAAATTCCGGGAAAATAAAAAATTATATATACGTACACTATAGGTAAGATCGGGCCGCCCGACCCAAATTTCGGGGCGGGGCTAAAAATGTCAATCATTGCTTCGGGTTCGGGTCGGGCTTCTCTCTCGCTGACTTTTTTAAAATAAATATGTTTATAAAAATGTATACTAAAACGATGCGTGGATACTAAACTAAGGAATACTTGTTTTAAAATAAATAATTTGGATAAAACAGAGAAGGCGCTGTAATGTAATTGCTATTTAATTCAAAGAACTCCTTCCTGTCTTGATTATCCACCCGTCATTGTTCTTCTTGGTCTCTATGCTTCTCTCTCTTAAAAGTGCCGCGCTAGATTCTTTAGGACGTACTGCTGCTGTGGTTTATGGCCCAATTTTGTGTTTCTGTCGGTTTTGGTTTCGTTCATTTTCGGGCCCTTACGGCTGTTGCTCATCGTGGCGTGTGTGCGTGCATATGCGCGCGCATTGGTTAAGGACAAATCTTTGAGTATTTCCTTCATCTGCTGCAATCCGGATGAACCAGAAGGAGCTATTTTTGTTTAAAAAAAAAAAAAAAAAAAAAAAAAAAAAGGGG